GAAATGGGTTGAGGTATTAGCAAGTCCGAAGAACGACTCTAGCACTGTGACAAGGATGCTCAAACGGACAATATTTCCAAGATTTGGGGTGCCAAGAGTAGTGATAAGCGATGGGGGTGCACACTTTGTTAATAGGATAATCCAAACCCTTTTGACAAAGTATGGTGTCCACCATAGGATTGCCACCGCTTATCATCCGCAAACGAGTGGACAAGTGGAAGTATCAAATAGAGAGATCAAGTCTATACTTGAGAAGACGGTTGCTAAGTCAAGAAAGGATTGGTCATTGAAGCTAGAGGATGCGGTTTGGGCATACAGGACTGCCTTCAAGACCCCGATTGGAATGACCCCTTTTCAGCTTGTGTACGGCAAAGCGTGTCACTTACCCGTGGAATTGGAACACAAGGCTTACTGGGCCATCAAGACTTTGAACTACGATTGGAAGACGGCAGCGGAGAAACGGGTTCTAGAGCTACACCATTTAGAGGAAATTCGGCTAGATGCTTACGAGAATGCAAGGATTTATAAGGAGAGAGCAAAAAAATGGCATGACAGACATATCCTCCACCGCACTTTCAAGGAGGATGATCAAGTCCTACTTTTCAACTCGCGGTTGCGCCTCTTTCCAGGTAAGTTAAAATCTCGTTGGTCTGGTCCTTTAAAAGTTAAGAGGGTTACTACTCATGGTGCTATCGAGCTCGATGATGGAAAGGGAAGTTCTTTCTTGGTTAATGCTCAGAGAATTAAACTGTACAACTCAGGAAATGAACTCGGACCGAGAGGCACCTTAGCCCTCGTGACTCCGTTTCACGAGTGAAAAGTGCTCTGGTCTAGCTGAGACCGAAAAACAGCGCTCTCGGGGGCATCCCGAGGTTGTAAATACCTTTTTCTGTTTTAGATATCAACAAAATTCAAAAACCCCCCAACATTTTGACCCTTTTTGTCTACCCAACTCTTTCTTAGAAGAACTAAGCGAACCCTTCTGTTTTTCTCTAGCGATCGCTCAATTTTTTGGAAATTTTGTGAATCAATTCATTTTCGGGCTACCAGCTCTCATTTTCGGGCTACCCTCCTGATATTTCTGAGCAAAATGACAGTTTTCAAAATTTAGGGCGCCCTCCCTACATTTTAGAGCGACCGCCTTTTTCGAAAAACAAACAAAAACGAGCTACCGCTCGTGATTTTAGGGCGACCGCTCTATCGCGTATTCTAGGGTTTCAGCACTCTCATTTATCCCCAAATAAAACCCTAACCTTCTAAACACCACAAGTTGAGAGAGAGGACATAGAGAGAGATGACCTAACCTCCGATTCGTCGTTGTCGGTCATCCAACCGCCGAATCTCATCTCTACACCTCTCTCCGGCGTCGATCTCGCACCTCGTCTTTGCCAAGTCCTCCAGCAACCAAATCCTCACCATTTGCAGCCATCTCTCTCATTCTCTCCTCTCCATTCCTTTAATGGCTGCAAGGTAACACTCTCCTCCTCTTCAATCTCTCTATTTCTCATCTCATAGTTCTCCCTTGGCGGATTTTTCGAACTCTAGACTGTTTGGGTTAGCTTAGAGATGCAATTTTCGCCTTGTGAGCATTACATATTTTCTTTTAAAAAAAAAAAAAAAAATTGTGTGCATCTTCATCATAGATCCGAGTAGAGTTACATGCATTTGTATATTGAGTCTCACGATAGGTCTCTAATTAGGTTGTATATTGCATAAGTTCATATAGGTATAGACATGCATACATACATTTGCATAAGATGTTGGTCAAATGATGATGTGGGAGGAGTAGAGCGAGGCTGTTTTGAAAGGTTTGAGAAACCGGACTTGGGATCCCCTTAGTAGCTGAATGGATTGTCGTGTGAAGCAGAAATAGTCAATCTAGTCCTAGAACGAGCGATTGTTATGTGGGATGATTTACCTCCTAAGGTCTAGGCGGATTAGAAGCTACGAACCAAGCGCAAACGTCTTCCCAAGAACCATTCTTCTATCTCTAAGTTTAGTAAGCCCATAGCATACAAGAAAGCCTGAATAAATAAAGTATCATCCCGACACTCCGCTGTCATTAGCTCGTTAATGAAAATCATTCGAGGACATGAGTGCATTAGAAACCGATGGCTCGGGTCTAAGTTGTGGGGCGAATACCAAAAAGGTATGTCATTCGTCAACTTCAACGTCCTAGAAGCCCGGGATGTTTCCAAAAAAAAAAGAGAGAAAAGGAAAAGAAAAGAAGAAACAAAATGAATAAAGAAAGAAGAATAGGGCAAGGTAGAATATAAAAATGTGGGCTAGATCATGCATAGTGATTGCATAGGATGTGTTTGAGAGACATGCTCGGCAAGATGCGTATAATCTACCTTAGACCACGGGGAGCGATAGAAGTTCCATTAGTAGCCGTTTGTTTGAATGCTAGAAGGCTAGAGTACGCTAAACTCGATTCCATTCACGGTAACTTTTACCCGGATAGACAAGCCAACCTTAGATCCCATTCAAGTTTGATCATAACCTCTCAGGCCTTAGACATTTTCACGATCATGTGTTTCGTTCGAGGACGAACAAACGTTCAAGTCTGGGGGGATTTGATCACATCATCTTTACTTGAGAATTTTATGAGTGGATTGTGATCTTTATCATTGGAT